TTGTGCACTGAATTGTTTTAGGCCCCACCAAATTTCGTTAGGGATATTAAGTGTCTAAGTATTAGTTTCATTAAACACAATACAAATTTAGCTACAGGATGGAGTGAGTAGTTCTTAAAGTATTTGTAGATGAATTTAACTTAACCAAAGTGCCAGTCTGTGAAACAGAATAATATACTACATGCTTCCTGCATTTTATAGCAACAGCACAATTCCTTTACAAAATACATACAGAAAAAGTTCAAGTTCATGGGCTCTTTAAGGATTCTAGTATTATTCTTCCTTATTGCTAGTCTCTGAAAGATTTGGAATATCAATTAATGTAACGAATTAGAATTTATAAAACCAGAGCTAGTGGAAGCAATTTGAAAGTTACTGAAAGTTGTAGGGCTTTTTTACTAGCCTAGAAAAAAACGTTGCAGGCAATTACCTTGGCCCAGTTTCATTGTCTGAAACGTAAAATCTGAGAATAGCACAAAAATAAGGGCATTCCTCTGCGGATTTGCCCTTATTCTTCCCATCTCTGTACTCTTCTTCCTGGCAGCCTTTCCTATCGTAGCTGCTCATGCTCCCTGGGGCAGCGGGGCAGAGCAGGGAAGATAATGGTTTGGAAGGGAAGGAGAATCAAGGAGGGGAGACTTGTACCTATTCAGTAGCTCTTCCTTTGGGTGTTTAGAGGGAAAAGTTATTTTGTAGCTATCGTAGCAGAAATTGGATCTTTGGTAATGGTAGTCCTTAGTGGTTTTTATAACCTTGTGCTGTGGGTTCCAAAATTTCAGGGCCAGTCAGTCTACTACCAGGTTATAGCAGTTCTTGTGGACTGCTGTCCTGCAGCACTTCATGTCGAAGTTTCATTGACAGTCACCCAGTGTAGTACTTTTTGTAATTTTGTACATCAGCTGCAGGTCATTTTCTGTGGCTGCAAGACCACAGAAATCTGGGTTAGAACTGTATCTTCACACTAATTAAACCAAATGGACTTTTGAGGAGACTCAGAGTTATTTTGTAGTTATATAAGAGCCCTCCTAGAGCAGCATTATAAATAGTTTATGCCCTTGCTTCCTAAACATAAAAGGTAAGACCCTGAGACAGAGTGGAAGCATAGTGGGGCACATCTTTGCTACGAACTGTTGGTTATATTGGCTTCAGTAGATCTCTGGCAGTGTAGTGGCTGAAGCTTTACTGTTTCAGGGATGCTTGGCGTCACAGAGAAAATTAGTAGCAGAACAGAGATTGATGCTAGGTTTAAACGTCTTTATTGTGTTAGTCATAAAACCATCTTTTCTCTGTTATATCTGATCTTTTCAACCTTTCAAGGGAGAAAAGCTTTGCAGGTTATCTGATAATGTGCCTGTGGTTTGGACAAGTTTCATAAAACCTGGGATACCTGCAACAGTTTTCAGATTTTCTGTCTGTGAACACTTAGATTTTTGTTCACTTTATGTTTGTACATGTTTTCAGTGCCTCACAAGAAGCTGATGGGAGCTATGTAAAAGCAAACTTGAGACAGGCTGTAAATGAAACCATGGAGCCATCAGTGGGCCTTTGAGTAGGAGTCTGGCACTTTCTCCATTGTACACATTGCAATTAGCAAGATCAGTCATTTTGAGGGGCCTGGTACTTGCTGGGGGCGGGGGGGATGGTGAGGGCGGGCAGGCTTGCAGAGCAGAACGTCTGCTGTCCTAACGGATTCTAGTGCTTGCCAAGGGCTATCGAAGAACTAATACTCTGCTTCCCAAGCACTAGTCACAGAAATGGCAGACACGCACACACAAACAGGTGAGAACCCACCGTGGTCATTTTAAGTGGAATGGCAAATGTTGCTTGGAACAGGAACCGCATTTGTCTTCTATTTTTGCTTTCTGTTACTAATCCTAAATAGAGAGGTGAGTATTCAGACAGGCTTTTCTGCAATAGAATTTTCTAAATAATCTGCATAAAATCCCTGTTTAGAAAGTAATGCAGATTTCTG